GCCGGGGGGGAAAAAGCCAGTCTCTGGCCAGATCTTTCACGCCCATACGAGCTGTTGCTGTTACCTTTCTAGCACAGCAACAACAAGAAGAAAAGGGATGGGTAGGTGCCCTCTACTGCGCTGGCAATGGCCCTGCTGCCATGGTGGCGGGGTGAGGGTGAGCGCAGGTACAAAACCCCACGGTGCAGGAACCTCTGCAACACGACCGTGGGACTAGAGGGAGCTTATCTGCGTTTATGGCTGCCTATTTTCCGCTGCATCTCGGAACGTCCATTAGCGATCAGCCACGGCAGCTCCACAGCACGGTTCCCGAGCTGCAGTTATCGCCGGGTTCATGACTTCAGCAAGATCAGAGTCCTAAATTTGCCACATTCACCGTCTCCCTCAACTCCAACACTTTCCCTCGGCCGTGGTTAGAGAGCCTCACACAGCAGGACAGGGACGGGAGCTGTTGCACCTGCAGGTGGAGGTGACAGACACGGGACCACACAACACACCGAGAACAAAGCCTGTTTAAAAGCCACCCGGGCTCCACCACAGTCGTTTCCGCACAGACAGGCCTGAAGTCACCAGCAAAAAGAGCCAGTCCAAGAATAAGCTTGCCATCTACAACAGGTGCTGCAAAGGAACAACAGTAAAACTTCCTTTCCCTGCATGTTCGGAGAAGCAGCGGCCATTTGGGCACGCAGGGCCCTCCTGCCTCCCTGGCTGCTCGGGGCGGTGGGTACAGCAGGAGGGACGCGCAGGTGCCGGCTTCTTCCAAACACAAACGGCCAGGAACGCCCGAGGCCTTCCTGTCATCACAGATCGTCCCAGAATGGGCTGAGATCTTCAGAGGATGGATAAAGAGAGGGTTCTGGATCCTAAAAGTTTGAGTTTATATTTAACAAAATGAGCAACATCATCACATGCACTGGGGAGAGATGGTGATCGGCTCCAACCGATCAGAGCTGATTTAAGCACAAGCACAGCTGAGGCCTTAGACACAGAGACAGGTATTAATGTTCCGGGTGTTTAGAAGATCATGGGATAAATGAAGTTCCAGTTAAAGCAGCGGTAAGACGACAAACGGGTATTTTTTGACGAACTTGGAAAATATGTAAAAGAGAGACATTACAAATAGTTTAATCGATATAGCATAAGTTGCAAATGAGACGGGAGAATGAACAATAAGAAGAAAAGATATCAAAACATACTGTTTAATCACAAAAGAATGCTACAATATTCAGTAGTTTATTAGAGTGAGAATCTTTTCAGCACAACAGAAAAAGCACCATCAGCTATTTAGAGTAATAAAGGGGGAACAAAAGATGAGTTTTAAAATATTCCATGTATTTCAGTAGTTTTTCATCCTTTCTTGATGAGATACTGTAACTGTGTTATGGTTTCAAAGCAAAAGATGCTGAAGACCAGAGTAACACCTTCCGACTTGTCTTGCTTGCGTCAGTTCTCTCTAATCCGTTCAGCAGAGAGCACATTTAACCTGCAAACGGATACGGTGGGACTCCTTTCACCCCTAGCCCAGTTATCTATTAAAAAAGAGACAGAAAAAAAAGAAACAATGCAATAATTCACCACTATCAGACACTTGCTTTTCTTTCACAACCAGACATGCTTTAATTTAGAAAAAGACCATGTCCTCCAACTTGACCTCCTCCTCTATCTTGCACACAGCAGCTCTCCGCAGCCAGGAGCTTCAGCCTGTGCCCCTCCTCTGGAGCTCAGTCACCACGGGCCAGAGTCTGTTCCCCAAAAGCCTCTTCTCAGATACCACTAAGCCTTACTTCTGCAGTTCACCATGTCACCTTCGGTATACACATGTGTGGGAGAACAGGGCTTTGAACCACATCCCAACATGACAAATTTTCAATGAGATAATTTAGTTATAGCTAACTAGAAAGTAAATAAAAGCAGATGCTTTTATCTGCCATTGATTAATACACAGAAGTATTAACACATTCCTTCTGTAATACATAGAAAACTCAAACTGTGGTGGGAAGGGGAGAAGTAAAAAGAGGTGACGGCATAGAAAATTAGCAGTATCGGCATTGTTACAAATTCTAAACCCAAAAGTATTTTCAAATGTCTAAACACATTTAACTTTCTCTTCCTACAACAGGAACCAAAACCACGAACAGCAGCTTAACATATGTGACTGATGTTCTAACAATCACCCTCTTCCTGCTTCCCACCACTCCAGCTGGTTTGCTACCTGAAAAATGCAGGAGGGAAAAAATGGCCTTCCAAAACGACAGGAAAAAGTATCCTTCACCTTGAAAAGCCCGCCGGCCTGCGGTTGCCGTGAGAGCCACTCTTCATCCATCCCGTCTCTGGCAGAAGTCACATACATTTCTGAATAATCCTTTCCTCCGAAGCAGCAGGAAGTTGTCTTGTCAACAGGAAGTTTCACAGTCTGGAGTCTTTTTCCTGGAGAAAAACATGCACGCCGTTCCCGGTTTGTCTACTTACGGCAAGAGATTTAAACAAATTATTGCGAGTAACCGGCGTGGAGCCAGGTGTTCCACAAAAGCGGGTACCAGGGCAGGGGGAGGGCCCACGCCGCGTTTCATCACGCCGATGAGCACCGCGACAGGGAGAAACCAGACTTCTGCAAATTGCGTTGTTGACGATACATCATTTGACAGGTTTCAGCCTCAGTTATCACAAACAAATCCCTCTCCCATCCCAGCCTGCCCTCTAATTAAAGGCTGACATCCACAGCACAGACACCTGTGTATCTGAGCTCATTATCTAGGCTGCCCATGCGGTCAGTGGAAATGGGCTGTAATTCCTCCCTACAACAGGTCACATGAATTCACGCCCCAGACCTGATGACTTCTCTGCTTCTAACTACAAAGGGAGCCTGGAGCGAGCAGACCTCGTGCAGCTCTACCGAGGCGCACCTCGTCCGACACCTCTACTGCCTGCAGCTAAGGAAGATTAATTCCTAGAAGTTTTTTTTTCTGAAATTTCCACAGCCTTTCAGCTCAAGCTTGCATAAATAGGGATCATGGGACGCGTCTGAAGTTTACAAGAAACTAGTGCTACCATGAATAGTATTAGGCATTTATTATACCAACAAATAGCTACCATTCTCATGACAGTAGTAAACAGGTTGCCTCCAGCCTTAACCAGAAGGCTGTCGAGACACCTTACTGCAGACTTTTCTAAAACTCCTCCTAATTTGGGGCAGTAAGTGCTTATACTCATCATGCCTATTTTATTCACCTACTATTGAACTTCTCTTGCTTGAAAAATGCTAAAGCACACGAATCTCCTCACAAAAGATGTAATTTCCTTGGCCCCCCAATTGCATGTGCAAAGGGCTTGGTCCCCTTACAGTAACTAACTGTTCAGCGATGTGTTGAAATATCAGGAGAGTAATTTTGATGTTGGGAACCCTACAAGGAGAAAGAAAAAGTGGAAAATTTGGCCTGCTTAACATCTGTGAGAAGTTTTTGGTCAACTTCATGGTGGGGCACCATTTCCCAGGAGGTGCTTACCTTCCCTTTTACGTGCCCTAACACCTATTCCCTTGCCCAACAAACAATGCCTTGGCCCCTTGTAGCGCTGCAATGACAAAAGCACAGACCCGACAGCTCCACCCGCACCACAGCACTAAGTGGGGCACAGGCAAAAGCAGGGACACATTATTCAGCCACTGGCGCAGGCCTAGCACAATTCTGGCCCTCGTAGTTCAGTATGCTGCTCCCCAGAGACAGCCTGGCCTCTGTTTTGGTGTGGGAAGATGGCCGGGCTGTGCAAAATAACCTAGGACGCACCATATGGTGCAGGACTAAAGGACATTTGCTGATCCATTTTACTTGCCAGCATGGGTGTAAGCAGTACATCCAGAATACAGGACTGAGAGGCAATTGCCTTTCTTTCACCAAAAACCCTGACACGAGGGCTGGAGAATTTAAACTGTCTTTTAATCCCAAAATAAATGAAAGAAAATAGCAAGTGAGCAGTGGTGAAAGAGCCTCTTGCATGCAACAGCCAGGGAAGTTTCAGCACTTTGGGATTCCTGATGATGTATAGTAAGCTTATTTGGCACACACTTTGACCCACAATGGCCAAAGTAAAAATCAAAATCCAAGTTTAAAAAAAATATAAAAAAAAAATCAGTGTAATGGTGTTTAGATTGTCAGAGATCATTTGCATGTCTGTTTACCTGTTTTTTCCCTGAGAAGAGCAGATTTTTCAAAATATCTAGAAAATTGGGAGAGAAGAAATCCTGACTGTTGCCTGGGAGTGACAAGGATCAATATGAGCTCCAAGACAACGCTCCTGCCAACTGGCTCTAGCAGCACTAGGGAGGAGACCCCGACTGTACGTGTGGAGTGGTCTGGGGAGATAATGTCCTGGAAGATATTGTTTACAAAACTCTAGGATGAGCAATGTCTTCCTGGAGATGCAAGACAATCTGCACCTGCATGCTCTGAAATCCACCTGAAGTATTCATCTATGCTTGGTATCTGTAGAAGAAAGAAACTTAGCAGATCTTTTAGACCCTGTACAATCAAAGGATATAAAATACATTCGCTAGGAAGAACTGTAATATATTCAATTCCTAATTAAAGGACGTGATTGCATAAAACTAGCAGGTCACTAAGTGGCCAGAAGGTAAGACAAGACTTGGCAACACACAAGTTCCACATCCCTTTCGAGCCCTTTGCAAATCCAGCAGGATCAGCCACCACAGCCTTTCCCTGTGGCACACCCCGAATCCAAGGGCACCAGCTACCCAGGCTGAAGAAGCCTAGACCTGAAAAGCTGCTTCACCCTGAGCCTCGAAACCTTCACTTCACAAAAGATGCCAAACGAGTTTCCTCCTCCATTCCCTTAAAAAGGCAGTCCAAGCCTTGCTATCAGTGGAACCTGAAAATCCCTCACACGCTCTAGGTGAGCTCTTTATCAGTGGGTAACAGCTGGCTGACAGTCCTTCCAGCCACCCTTAATAACTACTGGGCATTAAAAGAGAGGCTTTCAGAGGTATCTTCAAACCTGTCTGGGTTGTCTCCTTAAATAGTTACAATCCACTCTGAAATCAGAAAATTGCAGGCTTTAGGTATTACCTTAAAATCATAGCGCAGGGAGGGCAGATAAGCAGGAGATATTCACAAAGAAGTTGGCTCTTTTTGACACGGACGCTTAACCTGTGAAAACTTCTTGCTACTGTTTGCTGTGGGTGCTGGGAGTTCCACACAGGCGAAGGGAGACAGAACAAGTTCACGGAAGAGAAATCCACTGGCAGCTACCAACACAGGGAAATCACATCCAGCTCTGAAAGAACCTGAGCTGAGCATAGTTGGAGGCTGGAAATGTGTTAGGGGTATGTACTCTGCGTTCCCTATTCCTACAATCTCCCTATGCTTATGGACACCATTCCCACTAGATTTCCCTTAAGAAAACACCTCCAAAAGGGAGAAGGAAGGGAAAACAAGTGAAGAAAGGAAGAAGGTGAGGACCAGTGAGGAAAAAGGTAAACAACAGCAACCCAAAGAGGAAAAATGGCAGAGTCCACTGCTCCAGGAGGGCATTCAAAGGGCTGGCGGAGGTCACCAAGGAGTGCTCTGCCCACTAGGGGAGGAGGATGTGGGACCAGAAAGAGGTCCCAGAGCTGCTGGTGAAACAATTCACCAGTATAATGGTAGTCTCCTCAGCAACTTTACCTTTTCCAACACAACAGAGGTTGGGAACAAAAGAGACTTATTTACCAAGCTAACTTTTGAGAGCGGAGACATATAATTCAAAAAAAAAAAAGGTAGTGTTGTAGAAAGAGCAGATACGCCATTTCTGTGAGGGGAAAAAACCATCTCTCATTCTTTGCTTTTGTTTCCTTTTTTAAAAAAAAAAAAACAACAAAACCAACAAAACCACAGAATTCCAGTCTAATCTTTGCAAGGACTTACCCGTCTCAGGGTCAAGACGAATCACTCTCCCACCATCATAACAAGCCACCCAGAGTTTGCCTTCTGTATCAATGCACATCCCATCAGGAATGCTTTCCTCTTTTTCCAGTTTGTATATACTCCTGCGGTTGCCTGCAGGGTAGAAAAACCACAACAAAACTGAGCGAGACAGTTGTTAAAATTTTTATCAGTCACAGCCCAGCAGAGTTATTTGTACTATTATTTTCAAAAGCTGCATTGAAGTCCCGAGTTCTTCGGTACGAAAGAAACAGATCGTGTCTGCTGCCCTGTTTGTTTCCCCGAGACAGTTGTTTCTCAGCGTGAAGGCCTGTGGATCAGTTTCTATCCATTGAAAGCATAATCCTTTTTTCTGGTGTTCTTCTCTAGTGTACCACTCATACTCCCTACTGACAACATTAAATGAATAACTGAATAAATTAATGTTATATATATTCAGAAAATTAATTACTTGTTCTAAAAGCAGTTTGGATCATTTCAAGAACGGGCTGCTTCCAGTCAGAGAACTGGAAACTTTTCAAACACATTGCTGGAACGTGCCAATAATCACTGTTTCAACACAAAACTGACCTTCAGATATATAAACTGAGAGTTTATATAAACACAGAGTTAGGAAAAGAGTCAACTTCAAAGGCTCACTGTCAACTTAAAGCAAACAACTCTATCTGAACTTTTATCCACTGTTATTAAAGAAAATTAAAACCAACTTTCCAACATTGTTTATTTTATGCTCTGACAACTTCAATGTTTCTCATATGTAGCAATATTTTTAATGAGTTTCCTTTGTGCTCCTGGGGATTGTCGGATTGCCCACAGAATGAGAGCGAGCCAGCGCGAGCGAGAGAGAGAGGAGAACACCCCATTTCGTAAAGAAAAATTAAATTGTAAGCCATAGCAGAGAGATATGGGTCAAGATGCTACACCTAAAATGACTTTACATTCACAGTTTTAAAACTAAATATCAAATTGACTGTGTTCTTCTAAAGCAAATACTGCAGTCTGTGTACTCAAAAGCAAATTATTAGTCCAAGCCACTGGAATTTTTCTTTTGCCCAAGCTTGTAGAAGCCCTTAAGGGATTGTTTTATTTTGTTTTAAATAAATGAAGGAAGAAGTTTTGAGTTACTGCTTTCCAGTTGTTGCTTAGCTCTGTCTGCAGAATCTTCATTTAAGAGCTCATATTTTAAAAAACAAAGCAGAGTCAAAAAAACTTAGAGAACTAGCAGAGGTTTTGCACAACACTGCAAGCTTTCTGTTAGCAGAAACAGGCAGCCACAGCAACGTAGCCACACAAGAAACACTTTGCCCTTTTTATACAAGGAAGATCAGATACACGTTGTGTTTAGTAACAGTAGTCCAAATTACTACTTAAACTCTGCCATGCAATTTAAACACTTTATAATATTACCAACAGCCTTTGAGCCAGGGGCCCACGCAGGCGCAGATGGATGTTAACACAGCTTCTGTTGTTTTGTTCAACAGAGGCTTCTGAAGAAGCGCTCCCAAAGTTCTGATCATCTCCGCATAACAACCAGAATGGAAACAAACATCACAATCTTTCGACACAAACGATTATTTTTGAATACAACGATTCATACCAATTTTTCCAGTTTGGATGTCATAATCAAAGGCATCCACTGAGTAGGACAAACTGTCAATGTAAAAGAAGGTTTTGTGATCCAGCGACCAGTCCAGCCCATTAGAAATGTCCACCTGATCAAAGTGCTTCACCACGGAGAGGTCGGGGAAG